TTGTATCACATCGAGTACAAGGCAAGCGCAAGGGCATCCCAGGACACAGGAGATAAAGTACCCAAGGACTAGGGCTGGACCAATCTTCCCTGGCTATCTAGTGAGGTTTCCTGCTCTCCCCTATGGTTGGACTTTCTTTGGACCACCAGCCCCCAAATAGTGACATGGAGATTTATTATTAATTATGAAAGCTTGGCCTTTAGCTTAGGTTTGTTCCCAACTAGCTCTTATATTAATCTACATTCTGTCACGTGGCTCTTCACCTTTCCTCCATTGTGTATGTCCGACTCCCTCCGTGTCTCTCTGGCATCTCTCATGCACCTGGTTCATCCGCTGAGTTCCTTTCTCTCCCCGGAAGTCCCATCTATTCTCTCCTGCCTAGCTATTGGCCATTCAGCTCTTTAGTAAACCAATCAGGTGCTTTAGGCAGGTGAGGCAAAGCATAGACACATCTTCACACAGTGTAAATAAATATCCCACAACACTCCCTTAACCAACAAAGATCACTTGTATGATGTAATTTTAAAGGGCACCTGTACACATACATGAGGTTACCAGAAATAGACAGGGTGATAGTTACAAATATTACTGCCTACCTGTCTGTGGTGGTATTGTGTTCCCCAAAATATTATGCACCCTAATAAACTTATCTGGGGTCAGAGACAGAACAGCCACAATATTAAACATGAGGATAGGCAGTGGTAACTCACACCTTTAATCCTAGCATTCCAGAGGCAGAAATCCATCTGTTCAAGGATACAGCCAAGCATAGTGACTCACGCCTTTAATCCCAGAAAGCGAGCCTTTAATCCCAGGGAGTGATGGCAGAAAGCAGAAAGGTATATAAGGTGCGAGGACCAGGAACTAGAAGCATTTGGCTGGTTAAGCTTTCAGGCTTTGGAGCAGCAGTTCAGCTGAGTTTCATTCTGGATGAGGACTCAGAGGCCTCCAGTCTGAGGAAACAGGATCAGCTAAGGATCCGGCGAGGTGAGGTAGCTATGGCCAGTTCTGCTTCTCTGATCTTCCAGTTCACCCCAATACCTGGCTCAGGTTTGATTTTATTAACAAGTACCTTTAAGATTCCTGCTACACCTGTCCTTCTGTTTGTGCTGCCTGGGTATTTACAATGAACAGAGCCTTAACCCTTACAGTTCTGGAGGTGGGGATGACTGAGATGGAGGGGTGGGATCTGGTGAGGGTTGTGTCACACCGTGGCAGAAGAAAGGCATCGTGTGAGGAGAGAGCAAGAGTCAGTCTATAGCCCTTCAGGGTGGACGTCAGTCTATTCCCAAGGTGGAGCCCCATGAGGTAAACACCTCTTATGTCGGCCTCCCAGCCCTGCCGATCTGCGCATGCTTATTAAGGGTGAACGTAACAAACGCCTGTTCCGTGTCTGCTCTCTGCCTGACCAGCTATGTGAGGGAAGAATGTTGTCAGTATTGGAACTTAACTTGACTTCTGACGTAGAAAACAGGGTTTCAATGTCCTAAGGACAAATCATGCCATCGGATGGGGCTCCCGCAAGAATTTCAGAATTAACCAATATGTAAACTTTATTACTTTAGAGATAAAGTAGGCCCTATCAGAAGCCTAAAACAGGGCCTTAACGACCCAAGCATGTATTAACCCATTTATTAAGAAGTTTAGAGGTAGGCAATCCATGGCAGGACCCAAGCTTGTTATTGCTTTTTATTCCATTGTCTGTAATGAGCAGCCTTAAGGTGTCTTCATAGTCTATGTGGCTGCTGGAGCGCCTCCGGCCATCACATGAGCTGCAGGCTTTTCCTGCAGGTCCTTCTGATTCAGGCTTTGTAGATGTCCTCACAACGCTGAGGTGCTCTTCTTACTAGACACACACCCACACCTAGCTCCAAGAATGACTAGGGAACATGACTTTAGATGCAGTGCTTCCCCGAATGAATTGGGCTTCTGCTGTTCCCGTGGCTTAGACATGGCTTGAAGGTATCTGGAAGTTCGGTCTCTAGTGTAGGAATGGGTAGTGCACTGGGGGGCGGGGGTGAAGGGGCGCAGAAGAGTTGGAGCCTAGTGGAAGGCTATTAGGGGTGGAGGTTGGTGTTGAGGATGGATTAGTACTGGCCTCAGGGAATGGATTAGTTCTAAGAGATTAAGCTGTTGGGAGCATATTCAGCGGCTTCCTGTCTTGACATGTAATCTCTCATGCACGTTTTTTGTGATGCCAGAGCCACACGGATTCCAGCACCATGTTCATAAGCCTGCAGGACCAAGAAATAAATCTGCTTTGTATATAAAGTACCCAGCTTCGAGTATTTTGTTACAGCATCAGAAAGCCAATTAATAGAGTTCCTAAGCCACGAGGGGAACATATTGAGGGGGCTCTGGGGCTCCTCTTCCTTTCCTCCCCAAACAGAGAAGCAGTGTAATAGCACCAACAGCCCCTGGGCTTAACTCTCGCCTCTTCTATTACTCACTACACCATTTAAGGAGACTCAAATAGTCTCTCTGAGCCTTCAGATGCTGGTTCAAAAAAATAGACCATTGGCCATAGCTGCCTTCCCATGGTAACAGTGACCATATGGGACCACCAACTGTATGAATTATAACACGTAGGATTGGTGTTTAAAAATGGAAAAATTAGCAAAATTGAAAACACAGCAAAAACCTGTTTAGCCTAACAGGGACCACTGCATGGATGGGTGGCTTCTACCTTGACAGCTATCTTGTCCCCAAATCCTGAAGTTCTTTTTATAACGTGTGGGCAGAGCATGGGAGCAGGCAGGACACAGAGTGAGGATGGAGCTGGCCCTGCTGAGGTCCAGGGCATGTTAGTAATCTTTCTGTTGCTGTGATACAGAGACATTAGAAAATCAAGTTATAAAGTGGAAAGATTCCTTCTGAGTGACACTTTCAGGGGCTTCACTTCATGGTCTTTGTATCCTATTGCTCTGAGCATGTAGCACCAGAAACATATCCTGGAGGGAACCTGACCAAAGAGGCCCGTGGGCAGCCTGGAAGTGAAAGAGAGGGAGGTCCCAATGTCCCTTGTAAGGGTCCACTCCAGTGGTCTAACTTCTTCCTACCAGGCCCTTCCACTTAAAAGATCCACCTTTGCCGGGCTGTAGTGGCGCATGCCTTGAATCCTAGCACTCAGGAGGCAGAGCCAGGCAGATCTCTGTGAGTTCGAGGTTAGTCTGGTCTAAAGAGCGAGATCCAGGACAGGCACCAAAGCTACACAGGGGTCTTGAAACCGCCCCCCCCCAAAAAAGATCCACCTTTAGTGCCCAGACTGGGTACCAAGGTTTTTGTACATGGGAGACATTTCAGATCTACACAGTAGCAGAGTGTTCTTCTCTGTTGGAGACTGTGTGTGCCTTGCTGGAATGCTTCCCTGTGGACGCCCCTTTGATCCCGTGGTTCTTGCCTGTTCCAGCCATTCTCTGCTCAACAGACAATTATCGCACAGCCTGCTGGTTAAGGTCTCCATCCACTACTGTCGCTCACAGTTCCAGGTGAGGCCTGAATACAGCAGGGTACTGCTCCTGGGTGTCAGCTGGAACTGGGGTCACCTGAATGTTCTCCTGGACTGGTCCTTCTAGAAGTTTCTCCTGCATGGTTGGCAGGGATTCTGGGAGATCAGCTGGGTCACTGACCAGCCTCTTAGCATGCTTTCTCCAGGGGGCAAAGAAGCTGAGCTCTGAGCAGACACGGCCCCAAAGCCAACGCTTCAAGAGAAAAAAAGGAGGACCCTGCCAGACAGAAGCATCACACTTCTCTGGAGTCAAGGCCCCAGGAGCAGACTTCCCTCTCTGTGGGGAGGCGTGTCTTCAGCGAAGGGGAGGAAGCACAGCAGTACCTCAGACACCAGCTGCTACAGCTGCCCTGGCTGTGTGCTCAAACCACTGACACCCAGTGTGACCCCAGAGACCTCTGCGGTTCGTGATCTGATCTGGTCTGGGCATCTTTCTACCAGAAAGCTCCTGGGGTTGTTTGAAGGTGAGTCAAGGCTGAGAGCCTTGACTTATCCTAACTATGACTTAAAACCAAACCAAACCATAAAACCCAGGGAAGGCAAAAAGGTAAGGCTGGGTCCGTGAGACCGGGAGGTGACTGGTCTGTACCCCTGTCAGCTCTCCACTGCTGTAACAAATCACCTGAAATGGTGGATTTATAAAGGGAAGGGGTTCTATGAGCTCACAGATTTGGGGGCTCCCACTGCTTTCAGCCTCAGAAGGATGTGCCAGATAATAATGCTGGGGAGTACGTTGTAGAGACATCGTTTTCTTATGGCCAGGAAGCTTAAGAGGAAGCAACCAAGGCACTCCAGCCCCCCTCCTCCCCCTCCCCATAGGCATGCCCCAAATGACACAAGGACTTCTTCCTAGGCCTACCCACTAACGGCTGCACAGCCTCCCAGCTCTGCCACACAGGAACTAAGTCTTTGACACACGGGCCTCTGGGCAGCATTCAAGGTCCAAGCCATAGCAGCTGCCTCTCCATGTTGGCTAGGTCCCCATGAAACTGTTGCTGTTAGGTGTGGCTGGGTCTGCACAGATTCTAAAGCCACCCGTAGACATCCTTGGCTTTACTTAGTTTGGCCAATTTTCCCCATTGCCTTTACCAGAAATTAACTTGGTATGACTAACCAATTAACATGGTATAAATTCTCACTAAAAGGTTATCAGTCTCCTGGTTGAAGATTTGGGCTCAGCCAGCCTAACCACAGTTAGAAAACCTTTCCCTCAAATGGGTGGTGCCTAAAAGAAGGCTCTCCAGCCCTCACTTCAGAGGTATGCTTATGAATATTCATGGTCCTGTCTTCTGGCCTCGCAACACTAGAAAACATGATTTATTCCCAAGGCTAATGAGCTCTTCAGTTTCTTTCATGGTAGAGAAAGCGGTCTTGTTTTTCTGGATAATTTATTTTTGGTGCTAGTCCATTTTCTGGAAAGAACCTTTCCATTAAGATGCTGAGCACATTTCAAGAGAAGAGTGAGCTGTGAGAAGCCCTGCACAGAGGAGCCTGCCCACCTGGGCACGCCACCATGAGAGCTGTACCGAGGCTGGTGGCCGTGAGGCTCAAGGGGGAGGTGGTTTTTAGGAGAGGGTACGTGATGGGAACCACCGAGGTGGCACCCTGTGGAATGCACAGAGCTCACTGGCGAGTCATCGTGGAAGTGGGTGTGGACAGCACACACAGCTGGAACTGAGGCACCGAGGATCTATGTCCAGTGAGTTATGAGACATTAGAACCTGGCTCACTCTGCTGACGGAGCCCAGAAGAGAAAGCTCCCCGCTCTGTCTCTGTCTCTGCCTCTCATCTTCATCTGGCTCCAGTACCCCATCCACACAGTTCCTTCCCACTTGCCGGCCGCCCTGTGAACTCAGTGGTCTTCAGCTCCATTCCTGCCCTCTGGTGCTGTGCGGGCTGCCAGGGTGGCGGGAGTCCTGCAGGTGGCACTTGATAGATACAGCAGCATCTGTCTTCTGCAGAGTCAGTCCATGGGAGTCACCGGAGGGAGCCAGCAGAAGTGATAGGCAGTTGTGAGCTGCCTGACGTTGATGCTGAGACCTGAACAAGAGTTCTCGGAAAGAGCTGTACTAGATCTCCACCACCGAGCCAGCTCTCTAACCCCCTCGCTGCAGGTATTAATTTTTAAGTGTCTTTCCCTGTCAGCCCCCTCAGTCCTTCCAACACTGCTGTCCCTGCTTAGTGACAGACAGTCGCTAAGGCATTCTGTGCCTACCCGAAACAGCTGACAGCATCAGATCCTATGTAGCCATGCTCTCCACCCATACACACACGCCCGAGGTAAAGGTTAATTGGTGAATTAACTGCATAGTGAGAGACTGAGTCAGTAACAGTAGAACAACTATAAAATGTATATAGTCATAAAGGTTGTTTAGAATGTAAACATGATGCATTATTTCATTCTGGCACTTTCCGTCCAGTATTTTCAGACCGCCGTTGACCATGGGCAGTCGAAACTGCCAAAAGTAAAACCACAGATAAGGGGGGCACTCTTGTAGGTTGGTGGCCAGTTCCCAGTATCAAATGGCTCATCTCTGAAATAACTGAGGAAGCCCCTATTTCTCCAACCGAACCGAGACAATTTTAGGGGGTTATCAGAGTTGTGTAAAGATTTTGTCTCTTTCCGGAGATAAATAACATCTGGGCATGATTGTGCTATTTTTTGGCTGTTTTCTCTTCAGCATGACACATGCCCTTGGCCTTCGCCTAAAGCCTTGTCCCCCGTCCTGAGTTCCCAGGTTTGCCTCTGCTCTGGCTACTGTCCCTTTGGCCACTACCTGTTCCTGGTGGTTTCTACAGCTGGAGACATGTTTCCAGCTAAGGTCAATCCAGAGCAAGAATGATAGGGATCTAACCTTCTGCCACCCCCATCCCAGTTTTCAAGGGTCTAGCATGCTTAGTCAGCTCAGTTGGCTTGAACAGCAGGCGTCTGTTCCTCACAGTTCTGGAAGCTAAACTTCCAAGGTCAAGGTTTTCATTGTAGCAATGATGACCCTAAGTATGACAGCTGAACTGGCTAGCATGGATCTGTAATCCCAGCACTCCTATAGGAGCACAAGAGTTGAACTGGAGAATCCCTGGAAACTCGGGGACCAGCTAGCCTTAGACAGCAGTGAGTACCAAAGGGACCCTGTCTAAGCAAGGTGGAGGGGGGGACAGACACCTGAGGTTATCCTCTGACTGCCACATGTGCCCTGTGCAAAACAGGAGGAGAGCCCCCGTTAGGAATTGAGCTGCTGGCAAAGAGGATCACAGAAGAGCTGGGAGACGGTTCACTAGGTAACGTGTTTGTTAGATCACAAGTGTAAGGACCCAAGTCTGAGCCCCACAAACCCACGTAAAGCTGATGTGCAGGCTAGTTCTATGCCAGCTTGACACAAGCTAGAGTCATCCGAGAAGAGGGAACCTCAATTGAGAAAGTGCCTCCATAAGATCAGGCTGCAGTTTGCCGGGTATGGTGGCACAAGCCTTTAGTTCCAGAACTTAGAGGCAGAGGCAGGAAGCCAGCCTGCTGAAACATGGAGCTAATCAGGATTCATATGTGTCTGGGTGCTTGTTTGTTATTTCTCTCTCTCTCTCTCTCTCTCTCTCTCTCTCTCTCTCTCTCTCTCTCTCTCTCTCTCTCTCTCCTCTTCCAGATGGGGTCGTTGCTTTTGTTGATTTCTGTCGCTGGCCCTTGCTATGGGTTGTTGCACAAACCCACAGAAACCCACGCTGGGGTCTTCTCGGCTCATCTCCCAGAGAGCTTCTCAAGGCTCCTCACTCTGCCACACCCACACTGGCTTCCACCTGGTCTCTGGTCTCTGGCAATGCCTTCACCTCATTGTCTGCCTCCCATTTCCAGTTCCTGGTCAGAACCCAGTGCTTTGCAAATTCCCCACTCAGTAAACCCTTACACATCCTGTTCATTTAGGGGCCCCAACTTCCAGAAACCTTACTTCCCTACCAGATGCTCATTGTCTCAACTCCCCTGAGACAGCTGGAGGCAGAAAGGGGCTGAGGGACCCAGGTCTGACAAAGGGAAGGTGAACTGGGGGGGCTTTCTGTAAGCTTCCTTCTAGTGGAAGAAAGCACTGTCTTATTTCCTTCACTCCCCAGTATGGCTTGACTCAAGGAGTGTGAGGCAGCTAGTTTGAGATGCAGCCTCAGAGGATACCTGTAGGAGAGGAGAAGTAGGGAAGGAAGGGTAGCAGTGGACAGAGGTTTAGCTGCTGATGTGGGTGACAGGAGCCTCGTCAGACAGGCATCCCTGGAAAAGGTGCAAATCACCTACCTTAGAGTCATCCCTGAGAAAGTCATGATGTCAGTGCTAGAGGAACAGAACTGACCCAATGAGCACACATTACAAAGGGATCCATTCAGTCAGCTTATGTGACAGCAGATGAGTAGTTACAATGGCTGACCACACTGGAGAAGCTGAGAACCCAGTAGCTGGCCAGCTCATGAGGCCAGATATCTCAGTAGTCTCAATCTGATGCTGACCATTTAGAAGGTTTCTGGAGAGTCACTGCTCCTCGTTCATGTTGGAAGCCTGAAGAAGCTGGAGTCTGATGCTAGCCAAGGCTGGCAGCAGCAGCTGTAGGTGGAGTTTTCCTGTGCTGGCAGCCGCTCCCAAATAATCACCCAGAAACTTAATATTAATTGTAAATGCTCAGCTGATAGCTCAGGCTTGTTACTAGCTAACTCTTACATTTAAATTAGCCCATATTTCTTACCTACACTTTGCCACGTGGCTTGGTACCTTCTCTCAGCACAGTGTGCCCATTTGCTTCTCCTTCTGTCTGCTGGCAACTTCTCTGACTGCCCTTCTTCATCACAGCATCCTTAGTTTGGTTGTCCCTCCTATACTTCCTGCCTGGCTATTGTTAGATTTTCTTTTACTCTAGTCCCATGTTGGGCATCAAAATGTTGTTGATTGGTTTTGCTCTTTTGGGGGGCCTGCCATCTAGCTTCCAAATAAATCACACACACATACATACACACACACACACACACACACACACACACACACACACACACACACAGAGGCTTATTCTTAATTATAAATGCCCAGCTTTAGCTTGGCTTATTTCTAGCCAGCTTTTCTTAACTTAAATTATCCCATCTATCTTTTGCCTCTGGACTTTTACCTTTCTCTATTTCTGTATACCTTATCTTTCCTTCTTACTCCATGGCTTGCTGTGTAGCTGGGTGCCTGGACCCTGGTGTCCTCCTCCTTCTTTTCTCTTGCTCCTCCCTTTCTCCCACATTTCTCCTTCTCTTTCTTCTCTTTGCCTGTCAGCTCTGCCTATCTTTTTTCTTGCCTTGCCATTGGATGTTCAGCTCTTTATTAGACCATCAGGTGTTTTAGACAGGGACAGTAACACAGCTTCACAGAGTTAAACAAATGCAACATAAACAAAAGTAACACACCTTGAAATAATATTCCCAACACCTAGCTACCAGCCAGTCAGCTTTTTCTTAAACCAATCTGAGTAACAAATCTTTTCGGTGTACAAAAGGATTATTCTATAGCAAGCAGCAGCAGCAGCAGCAGCAGCAGCATAAATGCATTCACCAGCAAGAAACACAGGCTGCAAGTGATACTGTTTATTTCTGTCTTAGGACCTCTTTCTATCTGGGATGCTGTGAAAAGGTGCTGCCACTCTGGGGAAAGTCTTTTCCCTCAGTTAATCATTCCTAGAAGTGCCCTCACAAACCACCCAAAGACATGTCTCTTGATGACCCCATATCCAATCAGGTAGACAGTCAAGACTATCCATTCCGCTAACACATCTGCAGTCATCAGCTGGGGATTCCTCTAGGGAGAGACAAATGTTTTAGCATTCCTAAATGACAGCTCACAGACTGTCATCTCTGGGTTTAGGAGCAAACCCCAGGGAAAGGCAGCTGGAACTTGGCAGGAAAGAGAATGGACTTCGTGAAAGAGAATGGATGGAGAGGAGTGAGCTCCAATAGCCTCTGCTGCAACATCCTCCACCGCTGATCCTGCATGTGCCTTGATATCTGGAGATGAGGCATCTATTTTGTGACTGTGGCTGATGAGCAAGAAGACGACAAACCAACACACTGATGGGAAGGGTGGAGGAATCCACGGTTATTGGTATCGCTGGCTGCTACATGAAAACTGAGCTAGCATTCATAGTGCATGCATGGAATAACTGTGGCTGTAGTTCTCCAAGCCAGTATCACTTCTGTGTCCTGTTATTTGTGGTTAAGTAAATTCTATTTGAAACAGGATGAGCTACAGGATGAACGGTTGAGAAAGTCAGCCCAAGCATTTTACCCGGACATTGGCACGGAGTCTCAATGTTGGCTCCAAGGAAAGTCTAAATGAGAGGGTCAGTAAACGCTTGTTAATAGACAGGTGAATGGGTAGCAGGATAGATACCATGGATGGGGGAGCACCAATCTCTCTATGTTACATGACTCAGTTCGTATCCCTTTGGCAAATGGCTGCATAGTTTGCCATCTGATTCCACATTAAGACATCATCTGACACTAATTGTTGGCTTCTCAGATCCTCTGCTATTCTGCAATGGCTCAAAGGTCACTAATAAAGTCTTGGCCAATTTATTAATAGTCATAGCTATTTTTACTTCTGCTTGATGCAGCAAAGCTCTATGTAGTACTGGAAGGATAGGGACACTGTTTTCCTTTGGTATCCCAGATAGGAGCTGGTGTGAGGGGGAAGGGTTATACAGAGCATCTTGGCATCATCGGGATGAGTAGGTTTGGGGCTAGATACAATGGCAAATTGTCTCCTTGTCGAGATCCCTTTGTTGTAAGTGTTAGAACTCCAATTCAGACACACAGGGAATATGTTGGCTTCAGTGATGAGACTGCAGAGAGATTCAATTGGAGTAGAGCCGGCTCTAACAGCCCTGATGAGGCACGTACCCATGCTCGGTGCTCCTTCCCTTTGCTCTGTTTCTTCCCACCTCCCTTTCTCATTCTCCGTTTTCTCTTTCTCATGTGCATAGACACACATACCTCATCTCACCTTATTTCTATTTACATTTATTCTGCTCTATTCCCATGCCATGCAAAATGGCAGCCACGCTCCTGGTTGTTTTCAAGTTTTCTTTATAGCCTTTCCCAGACCTTCTATTGGCTTCCCCGAGTCAATCACAGTGCCCAAGAGGATAGAAGATTCTGATTGGTTGCCATGGGCCAATGCCTGCAGCAGAGGGATGAGCATGAGAAAGATAGAGTTTAGGAAGGAGCCATCAATGGAGGAGCATCCAGAGCAGCCAGCAGAAGGAAGACAGGGATGCACGCTGGACTGACTGACACGTGGTGTGGCTGCTGCTACCGCCGCCGCCACCGCTGCCACCGTTTGAATCTCACACTCACAGCTACACATTGCACAGTCAGAAGTCCCTCTACCAAAGCGACCAGCAAGTTTAACCCTCTGACCCCTCTGTGACATTGAGGGAAGGGACAAACAAGCTCAAAAGCGATCTGGGTCGAGACTATCCCTGAGACGAGGACTGTGCACGAGCTCTTTGAGAGACACACCCAGGGCATGGGGGTGAATACATGAAACAGGGAGTGAAGGAACAGATAAAAGGGGGCGTGTTAACGAAACCAGGAAATAGGACTCAGATGCCCTTCCCCCAGACCTGAGAAGTGATACCAAGTGTTACATTCTAAACCAGGTGTGGGAGTGCACACCTGTAATTTCAAAACTCAGGGGCTGAGGCAGAAGCAGCAGGAGTGCATGGCCAACTTGGGTGGCTTGGGGGCTATCCCAGGAGCCATTTGTAGCCCATCCGGCTTGTGGCGCCTGTGGAGGGGAGCACAGCGAGACTATTCTCAGACAGAAAGATGCAGTTCAGGGAGGCAGCTGTGGGTGAGGCCTGGACTGGCCTCTGAAGTTATAAAGGACCCCAGAGCCGGCTTGGGCCTCATGGCCTTCTGCAGCTACCTGTTAATTGCGACCTCTGCATTTGGCCCAACACTTACCCAGTGAGGCACACTGCAGCCCCAAAGGCTTCAGGGCTCTCACTACATGGCCTGGATTGATTGACACATTAACAAAAAAGATTTTGTTTCCAGAACTGTGGATTCTAAATGTTTCATCTGAAACTCCCACCTGAATCCTGCTGAGAATTTCTTGCTACAGTTGCTTATTTACTGGCCCTAATAAAAGAGCCTGGCAGTTATCCGGGATAGTTAAAACTTTTAGGCTCTTCAGAAATAGAGACGGTGAGGAGGTAAGCCAGAGCCTGACACACTGGAATGTTCTCTGTGCCTGAGATCAGCTTTCACCTGTGGAACTCATGCTCGAGAAACAGTTCCTGGTATAAAGGGGAGCCTGGCGGTGATGGGGCCACTTCCCCAGCCCCCAGCAAATAGCAAACTGCCTCCCCACAACTCGGCTCCTTCACTTTTCAGATGTCAGAGGCAGACACTTTTCACAGGCACGAATGCTTCTAAACATCAGTTCTTGCAAATCAAGAGCTGGCGAGGGCTCTGGTGTCTTTGCTCTCAAGGCGGCAGAGCAGAAACCTTAGTACCGCCTGGCCAGGCCAACTGGTTGAGCGTCCATGTGTACTGATGAGGCAAAAAGACAAATGCAGCTTCCCACCTGCTGTGGAGGTGTCCCTGACACAGTGTGTGGCCGTGGGCAAGTCACCCTCTCTGGGATGCAGCTGTTTGCTCAGAATGTGAGGGTTAGTCCAGTGGTTGACTTGAGTGAGGTCCTGATGCTGCCCCGGTCCTTTCTATGGTCAACTACACAGGGTGTTCATCAGTGATGGCACCTTCCCTGGAATCCTTTTTAACACAGCCATCCAGGAAGTCACTTGGGGAGCAGTCTGAGTTGGCAAGAGAATTGAAATCTATGTATCATCCTTCCACCTTAAATCATCTTCTGTGGACATGTAAACCACAAGGCTACAAACTATTTAACCCACAAGTCAAATCGGGTCCCCTGCCTGTTCGTGTCTAATAAAGTTTTATCAGAATAGTCAGATCACATGTCCATGCTACATTTAATGCTAGTTTTGAACTGCGGCGGCAGAGGTGGTTAGTGGTTGGTGGTGGAGACCCTTCCCTTTGGCCTGGAGGGGCTGGATACTCACTGCCAGATCCTTTATAAGGAAAGTTTGCCACCCTGGATATAAATCTGTCTCCTTGGCTCCAGCCTTTCCTTCAGGCCACAATGAGACTCTTCTTTGTGCCTGAGATCCTTGGAGCTGAGCAATGCCCCAGGGGCTTATGGGCTGTTGGCATTCTTGAGTTGAGAGGAGGGGGAGAGAAATGCCAGGAGAGAAAATACGAGGAATGAAAATGTTGTTGGAAAAGGGTGGGAAGAAGATGGTGGGGGTGGGGCCCCCTCTGTGTTGCATCTGCAGGGGCATGCCAGTGTTTAGAGATCCGTTCAGCCTGGCCCGATGCCCAGGCTGGGACTCAGCCACCTTCCTCAGCTCTGTGCTCCAAGAGGCACCCATTGGCTACCACAGAACTTCGATGTGGGAAGTACGGGCTCAAGCCCTTGTATTTTTTTTTCCTGATGAAAATAACAGCTTTTTCCTGGTCTCTAGACAATCACAAACCCCAACATTAGCAGGTGGGTGCCTTTTCTGGCATCTGGCTGATGCTCCTGCAGCTGTTTGCCGGGAGGGGGTTATATCTGGGTTATTGCCTGTGGGGTCGAGCTCATTGTCCGAGTGAATACCAAATCCCTCTTTTCCAGGGCCATCAGCATCCTTTTCTAAGATCTGTGTGCTCTGCTGCTAATGGCTCATACCCAGGACTTGCTGGGTCCCTGGGGCACCTGGGTAGTCCATATTCAATGACTCCTGTGCAGGAGGGCAGAAGCCAGTTACCATTGTCTTAGGATGCCATCCTGCCTTGAAGGAGCACAGGCGGGGGACTTTGTCAAGTTTAGATACATACTGTGCAGAGCATCACTAAGACCTTGTCCGACTCTGATGATATGAATTCCTTTTTTGGCTTGAGGTGGTGTGGTGCTTTGAATGAGAGTGGCCCTCATAGGCTCATAGATTTGGATGTTTGGTTCCCAGTTGGTGGACCGTTTAGGAAGAACCAGGGGGTGTGGCCATGTTGAAGGAGCTGTGTCACTAGGGGTGGGCGTTGACGTTTCAAAAGGCAACATGGGGCCCAGCTTTGCTCTCTCTGCCTGCTGCCTGCAGATCAAGAAGGAATCTCTTAGCCACTGCCCCAGTGCCACGCCTGCCTGCCTGCCGCCACACTCCCCACCATGGTGGCGGTGGAGTAACCCTCTGAAACTGTGAGCAAGTCCCCCAGGGAAATGCTTCTTTTATAAGTTGCCTTGGTCATGGTGTGTCTTCCCAGAAACAGAATAAGACTTTTGTTTCTTTGGTTTTAGACAGACTCATTCTGTAGTTCAGGCTAGTTTCAAACATACCATCCTCCTGTCTCAGTCTTTTGAGTGCTGACATCACAGCCCTGTAACACCATTCCTGACTGGTCAGTTTTAAATAAAGGCAATGTTATGGTTTGAATGTCCTGTTCTAAATTCAAGCTGAAATTAAGTTGCCCTGTAGCAATACTGACAGGTGGGACCCTAAGAAGTGATAAATTATTCATTACTGTGGAAGTAAGGTCCTGATTTAAAAAAAAAAATCCAGCTCCCTTCTGCCCTGTTCCAATCCAATGTAGAGACCCACATCAGATGGCAGAGCCCTAGGACTTCCCAGCCTCTAGAAGCATGAGCCAAATGAGCTGTTGTTTATAAATTCCAAAGCTGGTAGTGTTCCGTCACACCAGCAGAGCCTGGACTTGGAATCTGCGGCTGACAGGGAGTGAGAAGACAGTTAGGTCAAAGGTGCCAGCTCCCAGGTCCTGGTCCCCCACACAAGCCAAGCCAGGCACCCTGCCACGGAGGAGCCCTTCCTGAAGTGTGGCGGAGTGAAGACAGGGTAGGAAAGCTCTGAGGACTAGCTCATGACTCATTCCCAGGGTGTCCCAGAGGTGAGGGTGGGGTGGGGTGAAGGCTGGAGGTTCCCGAAGTAGTCCACGGTGTGTTCAGTTCCTATTGATCACCTGACTAAAGATCCGGGAGGTGTGGCCTCTGTGCAGAAGTCCGGGGTGGGGCTCTCCAGACAGGAGTCAGGTGGATGCAGGCTGCAGTCACTCTGAAGGGTCCAGGGAGAGTTTACCCTCTAGTCTCCCCAGGCTCCGGAAGGC